GCCCAAGTTCCCAAAGTTCTCGTTTAGCACCACACTGCGCCGGGTTTTGTGGAATCTAACAACTGCCCCCCAGATGGGATCCGAAGTTGGGGCGCGCGCTTCAAGAGTTGTCGTAGCCATAGCCATAGCCGTAGCCGTAGTCGCTGTTGCATGTTGCATGTTGTTTGCAAGCACTTGTAAATAATTTTCATCTAACGAAGGCGGCGCACTCCACATTGCTTTTCCTCTTGTTGTTCTTGTTGTTGCTGTTGTCGTTAGCCAGATAGCTGGCTGCCGGTTGCCGCCTGCCTTTCAGACTCATTTGAGTGCTACGTGTGAATGTCTACGAGTGTGTGTGTCTGTGTGTCTGTGTGTATATGTGTTCAACTGGAGGATGTGCTTGGCTTGTCCTACATTTTGCATTTGTCGGTTTCGCTTTGCATTGTTTTAGCCAAGTTTGTTTATGTTGGCATGTGCCTGGCTAACTGTTTGCTCAAGTGGGGTTGACGTTGACGTCGTCGTTGTCGTTGCCTTCGCTGCTATCATCATTATCATCATTATTGATAGCTTTCTAGTCTGTTTGCCTCACAGGTTGCCAATAGACGGCTTTTCAATCATGAATATGTATGTACGAGTATATTGTATAATATTTTAATTGCAATCACATTTTCATTGTCAATCACTGCTAACTGCGGACTGTCAACACAAGCGCGGCCCCTCTTATTTATTGAATAATTACCACATTATTAGCATATTAGGCCAACACTATCTTCATCGCTATGACTGACTCTTTCCTAGAAGTCAATTTTGTGCCCTTTCATATATGTCTGGTCGGTGTTTGTCGTCTCGAGGTCTTGAGGTCAAGAACTGTATTAAAACACATGAGTAAATTGTATTTAAAAAAAGGTGCCCCACGGGATGCAACAACGTGATTAAAAGATAAACTACTTAACATTTAATACGAATAGTTAAATGCAGTTGAACTCAGGGAGTTCATGGAAGGTCGTCAACAAATCAAGCACTATTTATTTATATTGTGATTATGATACATTCTTTGTTTCCCATTGATGTAATTATTAGTTTTAAAATTAAAGTTGTACAAGTCAGATTTTCAATACTTTTGAGGCTTCATTTAAAAATAGTAAAGTTTCAGAAGGAGCTCGTTATACATACATATGTACATATGAAAATGCTAACTAATTTTAGATAAACAAAGGTATAACATAAAAAAACATTATTGAAAAATATTAAATAGCAGGTGGTTTTAGGAGAGATAAATCTGTCAATTCGTCTATAGAATGAATTTTTGGAAGTGCATTTCAAAAGTGTTTATTCTTTCTTAAAATGACAACTGTTTGGTAGAAAAGCTGCAAAATATTTGTTTAAGAAAAAAATTGAAATTGTCATTGTGAGGTTATAACAATGTTCAACAAAAAATAAACTATGAATGACAGCCAATTTTTTTAAAATCGGCTCGTCTACTTATGGAATAGCCCAATGTTGATTCCTAGCGCTCGATGCAATAAGTTTGTAAAATGAATTGTCATTTTTATCCCTCTTTAGAATAAAAATTGGTTTTGATTATTTCAACGTCGATGTTTCTTACTTAGCACCTTAAAGGCGTCATAAGATCACAAGAACTATGGATTCGACGCTGTCGAAAAGAAATGTCTTAGCTCTCTTTTTTTTAACAGTTCTACATAATTGAGCACATTATGTCCATTTTAGGTTCATTTACCGTGCAAGTAAATCGAGTCTCGACTGTGCAGTTGTGCAAACGTATTTTTATGTTGGTCAGAAGTACGCGTGAGCTATGTCAACAAACCGTGTGCTTACCGAGCCCATTTCCATGCTTCTACTTGTCGCTGTGTGTCGAGTGTTGCTTTTACAGTAAATAAATCGTTAACTACAAGTAGATTGTCCTTCGCGTGCTTCGATTGTCAACACTCGGTGGCAGTCGTTAGTGTTTGTGTCCGCACACGTTGACTAGCCAACGCACACTAAATGAACTAATGAGTTTGTAGCCTGCCAAATTGGTAAATGCAACAACTTGCTGCACGTTAGGCGATTGGTGCCACAGACCATCAGGCAGGTCATCGACGAGCGCTTTGTTTTTGTTCACAGCACCTACATATCTAGCCTCAGGTCAATCAACAGTCGATGTCTGACAGCCGATGGCGGATGGTTTACTTAGGAACGTGGGAACGCAGGCAACCATTTGCCATTTGCACTTTGTACATAGGATTGTAGGAGTCTAATCCCACGTAGCTATTTATACAAACCGTCAAGTTCAGGGCGTTGTACTTCACATTCTTGCAAAAGTATTATGTGGACACATGGCACGTGGAGGGAATATTTTGAAATCATTTTCAATGCTGTCCTTGTTCGCAGCTGCTACCAGGACAATTTATATTCCATGTTTAATAATTCAGACTATTAGTTTATAGTATCGAACAATTAACGTTGGTCAATTTTAAAGTGGCTTGTGGGAATTACAAAAATGCAAAGGGGTGGCGGGCAGTTCTGCAATTTTTGAAACAACCTCAAAAACGTTTAATTGCGTTTTCAAAATTCATGTATTTCTTAGGGGTAGCTTGTAAATTTTAAATTTTTTGATTGAAAAATTGCTATAATGAGCAATAAGTTTAAAATTCATAATTTACTTTAAAATACATATTTATACTCATAATAGTAGAACGTTTACTTTGTATTTAATTTTAAGTAAAAGTTCAAAACGGACTTCTAGTATTTTTGGAATTGCTTTACGAATTTGAACCCACCTCATGGTGAGCTATAGATTCCCACCATGAACATACCCATATGGTGTACTTCAGCTTAAGGCGGTTGTCATAATCTCTATTGCGATTTAATTGAAGGTGATAACAAGGTGATTTTTTTTTAACATCAACACTATACTATAAAGCACACCGGTGGGGCACAAAGGAAAAAAAGGTTACTCGAAAGAAAGAAACAAGAACAAACGGCAGAATATGTAATTACCCGGAAATATGTTGATTAGTCAATTTATTTATGATTCTTGAATGATACAGGGACCTTGCATTGCTCAACGAGGTAACAGGCATCCCACAATGTGAGTTCGTTCCTGAGTATATGACTCGGTTCGAATCACGGCGCCTACCATCATCGCATGATGCATGATTTCAAATTTACTTGAAGTTTCAAAATTCTGAACCTAAAAAATCTCAATCTGTCGTGTATGGCTAAAACTGCAGGCCAATTACGCTGAAATTTAAAAAAATACACAGTCCGACTATTTCAAAAGTCATTGTTGCTTAAAAAATGTCAATTTGTTATTAACGATGGTCAGCGAAGTGTGGTAGCTGCAATGATTGCCGATATATACTCACCACTCTAATAGCGTTGCCACACAGCATGTTTTACTTTGCCCAAGCAGTTCGGAAACTGTCCAAGCAGTGTTTTGCTACGGCAGTGCGCGCATACGTTAAATTCAAAAACACTCGACTTTACATTTGGAATTTGAGTTTCGAATTTATTCTTCTTCTATTTTTTAGTTTATATATATTCATATATATATATAATATATATATATATTATAATATCTGACAAACTTGAACATTTATTTAATTTCATTATTACACTTTTCGTTCATTTCGATTTTTTTGCTCTTTGCACTGCGAATACAAATACACATTTTACATACATTTAGTTGCGTTTCGTTAACGTTACTGGCAAAATGTTCCCTTTGAGATGAAGATATTTATGTATGCAACTTTTTGTTTCTCATTTAATGGTTGGCTCCGTTGGATCAAACTAAACATATTGGAATACGTAACTTTATATCGTACAGTAAAAATATATTTATTACATTGTAATTTTTGACCACTTTTCATTGGCTTTCGTTAGCTAAGGTTTTTTGTTTTTTCAGATTTTCACTTCAACAATTCTCAATACACAGTTGCTAGATATACACAATATACAATATCCATATATACTTATAAATCCTCATCAGATTAGATCAGACTAAATATTTTGACTAAATAGCATTCAACTTCAAACTTTTAAGTGGCAATCACTTGAGCCAATTTTTAAGCCAGATAGTCAAGAAATTGTAAGGATTAAATAGATATCAGAAGTTAGATATCCCGTAGGATAAACTGATGATCATTCCATAGTTAGTACGGTAAAATGTTGTCCTAATTCTGGCTCTTAAATTTGGCTCAAGTAAATGGGTTTTGTAGATTAGTGCACAAATATTACTTACAATTCAATTGCAAAACATTTTAGTAGCTAGGTATAGTGTTTTTGGATTCTTTCTATCTTATGAGTCACTAATTCGACTTACTTCAAATACATTTATCGTACTTAGAGACATAGGTTGGTATATGTAGGTATACTAAATAGTACTATATATTGTGCTTAATCTGTATGTGGGTGCTTCCTAGCCGCATTTGTTTTAAACGTCTTACGAATGTTGTTATTAAGTATTACGGTTGTATCACCAAGAGAGGCTTGAATGTTGTTCGTTTCAGTTTGTTAAAAGTAGGGTTGTTTGTTTGTTTGTTGCATTTCTTTGTTTGTTTGTTTTTTTTGTTTGTTATCGCTTAGTTATGCTACATGATAAGAATGATTGTAGGCAGGTGGTTGGTTGTTCACTTGACTTGCAATGTTTGTTTTCGCTGCACTTGGCAGCAGACAGCAATCGCCACTTAAAACTACTGCTAGACATCAATTTTTCTTTTAGATAAATTTGTCCTAAAATACATATTATTTGAAACAATTTGGAGCATAAACACAAAAGTGAAGGGCCCCACCGATCAAAATACGTTCCAAGTTTTGTGGATTTTCCTTTTCTTGAAAATGAATATGAATATTAAGTTTTGAATCAAAAACCGTTTAGGTATAGTCATGGATATATCAGGTCTTAGAGGGAATATGGTACTAAACTTTAGTATTTCTATTCAATACACTAAGTGTATTGCTTCCCAAGAGAAACGAAGATATAAATCTCCATATATTTGATTCATTGGACGTTAAAGAGGTTTTAGTTATGAAATTTCTTCGGCCCGCTTTATTTAAAAATGCATAGCATATAAATAACGAACAAAGTTATACAATTTTTGGAATCCATCAGAGATCTGAGAAGCATAAAACTCTATATACATGCATGTTTCGAAAGTGTGGGCCCTTCTTTTGTTGGCAACTCTGATTTATTCTCTATACTCTGTTTGTACATTTCATTGCCACCCGACTAGCTGATGTCATTGGTCTCGCCCTCGGTTACTTCTAAGCTGGGACCGCTGTTCAGCGTGTAATTCTGGGTCGCGTACATCTGCCAGAGTGCATCGACTTGCTGCGGCGAGATGCTGTGCCAGGACACCAGAAACTCCAGCTGCCCGAGATCAATTTGTCCGGCAAGGACACCCAGCAACGTTGGCTCATACAGTATGTAGGGCTTCAAGGAAATAATCGTCGTGTTGGTACGCTGAGCCAGGACTCCAGTGATCATCACATCGTCGACCCAAAAGTACCGAGACTGTTGCGCCGCTCGATATAGACGCTCCACCACATCTGCCGAGTAGACGATGGCAAAGCCGGGACAGTAGGGCGGATAATAGCGCTCGGCGTACTCGCTGAAGCTGACGCGCCACTTGGAGCGATAGGAACGCTTGACACGGGCGCCCACAAATTTAAGGCAGAGCAGTAAGTCGCGAGGTTGCTGCAGGAACAAACGCATGGGCGGGGGTGTGGTGGTCAGGTTGATCGGAGATTCCACAGTGGCCGGTTGCATCGGGACGTCGGTGAAGGGCTGCAGATTCCGGATTAGCCGCGGCGTATTCACATACACATCGTCGTCCACCTTGATCAGCAGTTGGGCGTGTTTGCAGTTGTTGTGAAACCATTTGAGGGCCATGACATGCTTGTAGGTCATGTTGCGATAGGCGTCCTGGAAATTTCCCTGCACCATATCCTTGTGCTGTTCGTTCTCGGCAATCAGAGCGAGTTGCAATGCCCCCTCTGCCTCAGGCACAGCGCCCAATAGGAAGACGAGACGCACTGGTGTACGGGCGAGCAAGGATTCGCTTCCCCAGGTCTGACGAATCAGAGTGCGCTTTTCCACATTCCCGGGCGCCGTGTGCACCAGAATGAGCGCTTGAGTGTGCCACTCGCAAGGTGGCTGCGCCATGAGATAGAAAAAGCCGCGCAGATCGATCAGCTGGCCATCGTCCGTTCCTGCTGTTGACTGCAGGACGCTGGCGGCTGTGGGTGACGGTGCCGGCGTGGCGGAGCCACCTTCCACTATTCTAACTATGCTAGTACTATCATAACTATGGTTGCTAATCTGAGTACGACTAGAGTCGTGTTTTTGGCATGCTTGTTGGTAGGCGCTGCCATTGGCGCGCGACGACTGTGATATTTGCTGCCATTGCTGTGAGCCCAATGTCTGTGGCAATGTTGAGAGCGCTGTCGCCGATCCCGAGGTAGCCGCATCCCCCTCGGGCATCACCGGTTCCTGTACGGTCACCAGCCATATTACCACGCACAGATTCAGCCAGATGATCAAGCCCCAGAAGGGACGCCGATCCAACATGTCAATTGGCTGTGCGCTTGTGCGTTGTTGTTTCTGCTCCTACTACTTTTTCTGTTGGTGCTGTTTCTGTTGCTGTTGCTGCTCCTTGCCTTCCTTCTTCTGACTACTTCTCCCTCCTTGGTTTCTATGACGTGGACACCTCAAGCGGAAGCGCTTCCTTCGTCGCGTTGCCATTTAATTGCAATTGAGCGCGTCTGCAAATAAAGTCAATAAACAAATAAAAAACGTTTAAGCACACTAATCAAACCAATTTCATTTCATTTAATTAATAAACTAACAGAGCTGACAATTAAACAAACAGCAATCTATCTATCTATATTCTATCTATCTATACATATATACATATATAAAAATGGAAGTATATATATGTATATACACCTCATTCTGTTTTTACACGGTCTTTTTTTTTACATGCTTTTGATTTAACACGGTTCGTAAATTAAAAATTGTGTATATGGTTACACGACTTTATTCCATTTAGCACGATTTATTTTGCATATAATCAAAGTCTTTTTTTGCACAGTTTTTTTTCAGACAGCTTTTTTGGGAACCAATGTACCGTGTAGAAACAGAATTTGGTGTATATGTTCCGTACAGACTCGGAAACCGCTCAACCGATATTGATCAAATTTTGTGGCAATATTGAAAATAGTCCCGTGGTTAATCCTCTGAGGTTTCGTTTCACTTTTTGTTCTGTCAGTGTTTCATTCGTAAATAAATAAGATTTAATCGAATTCAGAGCCTTCAAAACGAAACAAGAACGGAAGTAAAGGCTTCGGCAAATGCCCCAAAAAACACATCCACATCTGATCCAAGGAACACCAAGAGCGGGCGATGGACATCCTTTGTACAGACGACGAAAGGTGGACGACAGTGGCTACTCAATCAAGGACGTAATCGAAGCCATAAAAAGCGAAGGACGTTATTGGGAAAGATTTGACGTCGCACTACAATTCAGTGGCGCAGAAAAGCAAGCCGGAAACGCTAGTACTCATATAAAAATACCATGGCCGGTGAATTATGGAACCTGACGATTAATTAATAAACATGAAGCAATGACCAAATGCGTTATACAGAATATATAGATAAGGAGGAGGTACGAAGTAGTGAGGCCATTAATGCTTGCTATAATTGCGATATTAATCTGTGTGGAGCCAACAGATGAGGAGCTGTTGTTCGAGCATTGAACAGTAGCCTCCACTGCCGGCAGCCAATTACCGCGGGTGCACGCTCATTTACAAATTGGTTTGAGCGCCATCAATCAAGGTGGATGTTGGATATGCGCGATAATAGAATAAGCCATAATGTAATTGGAGGTCATGTGAGTGCGAAGTACACGCCATTCAGCAACGCACTTCAGTAGTCGCGTCAGGTGCGCCATTTCTATAATTTGTTTCGCATGTAACCCAAGGAGGACTGTGGTTGGTGTCAACATGTCACCAAGTCTCCAACTGGGCGACACACTGCCATTTGATGTAACCCATTTATGGCAAACACTCCTCATCGCGCATGATTTAAACCAAGCAATAGAAATAGCAATACACAATAGAAAACCCAAGACCTGATACGTTCTGGAATAAGTTTGTTTGTCTCTTTGCCAGAAGTGTTCCAAAGATGAATGAATACAAATTTCTTAAAGCAAAGTTAAAGTCCTTTTCGATATACAAGCTCCACAAAGTAACTCTTTTGATTTGGATGGGAATAAAAATGTAAAAATATTCGAATCTTTTATGAACAAATTTTGTCGATATGTTTATTTGTTTAATCGACAAACAATGCAGTTAATGTAAAAGAAAAAAATCAATACAATAGAGAACTTAAACTAAATAAAACTGAAGAAAGAAAAAGCCTATAAAAATGACAAAAATATCTAATAACGAATCCGACACGCTGGGGGAATTTTATTTGCCAAACGGCCTGCAATGCCCCGATTCACAGAGAGTAGTCAGATACGTTATAAGACCTAACATAAAAGAAGTGGAGATGAAAACATAAACATAAAATACTTAAATAATAAAAGAAAAATATATTTAATAGCTAAAGGTGAGAATCACTGGACTAGACATTTATGGGAAATAACATCTTTATTGTACAAAACGGTGTCAGTGTCTCTTTTTAAGACAAGGCGAGAACTTCGTTTTTGGTTTCAAGAGCAAGCACACTAGCGACTACGACCACTTTGAAGCCCCCAATAAATCGATCATAAGTCTATTATACAATTATTCGACATTTTCGACAAACCCCCGTCAATCTATTTCCATTCGTTGCATTACACGCAAAAGTGATTAATTGCGAAACTGTTGTCAGATGTGGAAGAAGGCTCGCCCCACAACATTGAAGTGCAACTAATCGCTCTGCGAATTTTCGACCACATCATCAGACAAAAATCCCCTACACGTTGATGATTATTTGAATTTGATAACAGATAGTGCACTGGCAGTGGCACGAGCTATCTGGCTGTGAAAACTGCTGGGACTTTGGATGCATGATCTGATTACTATTCTGTTATCAGCAAGAGCGAGTTATGCGTTGTAACACGTTTAGACTATTAACTAATTGCCAGCGTAGCGCTGGTGACGTAAGAGACTGCTGACAATGCAACACAGCAACCCACGCCCAAAGTCTCGTACAGGTTCACTGTCCGCCTGGCAAGAACAGAGCGCACGTCTTTTCCTGTCTTGAAGGCTGCAACAAAGGGAGTTCATTGCACCGAAGCACCCGTGTCGTCATAATTTCATTTATTATTAAAGATTTCCTTACAACGAGCAAAGCAGGAACACGTAGGCCGCGGCCGCGGCCGCGAGCCAGACAGCACCTGCATCGCGTAGCTGAAGTCGGGCTTTGTGTTCGGCAGTCAGTCAATCCATAAGTCAGTCACGTAGCCAACAATATACCTCACATATTGGGAATGTGCAGAGTGTAATTGAAATTGGTTATGACTTGATTGAAAAAGTGCAAAGACATAGGAAGCCAATGATAGAAATGATTTCACTTCAGCTCAGTTCACTTGGGAAAGAAACACTTTTCCTTTTGATTATATTTCGGCAATATTTTTATTTATAATATTATCGTTATCAGCAATCATTTAGTTAAATTGCGGCCAAATCCTCAAATGCTCAAAGATAAGATAAATATTCCAAGGTAGCTAAGCCGACTGCGTCATACAAGAATATTGATTATCGCACAAAAAGACCATTTGGCCTCTTGACTTATTTTAAGACCCATCCGCTTTAAGAATCCTCCAACTATGAAGGGACAAAGGACAAACAAAAGCAACCGGCACCCTCCAACCCCTCCTGTGCGTTCGCAGCGTAAAACGCCATAGACCGAGGTAAATATTAAAACAACATTCTATTTAAATGCCGCGTGAAGTCAATAACTGTGAATTGCGAGCGAATAAAGGCGTTGCGGCTATTCATAAAATAAATAAATAAATAAAACTACAAGTTAGACTTTATAGTCGCCGCGTCTAACTATGAAATGCCCTGCAAAAGTGCCTCACAGAGAGCTGTATAGTAAGTCACCAGAGAGCTGTAAATCAGTTAGCTAGACAGCGTTTAACCAGAATGCCATAGCTTCCATATAACTATGGGCAATGTTAGAGATGATTTTATCCAATAAATGGAAACCAAACCTAACTACAAGTAGGTATCTAGAAAAGATTAATCATTTCTGAGAATGAGAAGTGTGGTGGATTACCTTCGATTATCACATTAGACCGATTTTGGCTTCGCCTGGAATCAATTCTAATAATAATGATCATTCACATTTACTTTCAACAGAACTCTTTTTCTCTCTTCTATACAATTTATCCTTTATGTTATCTCCGGGGAATTGTCTGACCACTTACAGCTGGGAGTCGCTCTCAAATTTTCCCCTACCGGGTTGGAGAATTCCCTTTTACTCTTTCTCTTTATACTTAATTAGCTGTTAAGTATAATTAATTTTCCTCCTCTACAAACTATTTTTTTTAGTTAATCGACGTTATTGTACGATTTTTTCTTAGGCTTTCTTATCAATTAAGTTGAAATTATAACGTTATATTATTACATATCTTTATTTTATAATATTTTAGTATAATATAATTAAACTTATAGTTATATTATTACATATCTTTGTTTTATAATATTTTAGTAGAATATAATTATACTTATAGTTTTAAATATGTATCAACAGCACTTGTTCTTGAATTATTGAATAAAATAAAATCAGTTTTGAAGAGTTGCGTCCAAAATTGAATAATTTCACTTTAACGCAACTGGTATTAATTGAATGGTGATCCATTTAGAGGTGTCTATGAAAAATATGATCCAAAATAATACCACTACCAATTTGTCACATTTTATCACAAGATGTGTTATGTGGCTAGGAATCTACATATATATTATTCAATTATTATTAAATTTTTAAATAATAATGTGTAGATATGCAAGGAAGTTCTAAAATTAGGGTTGCGATTGCTTCGCCGACCAGTTCTAATGGTGGTTTATAAAATAATGCATAATAAATAATTAGAATGTAGTTGTATAAGCATGGGGTTGTTTATGGTTATCAAACATAGGTAGAAAAAAACTGGTATCCGTCTGCCTGTTACATACTTGTATATACTTGAATAGTGCATTGAAAACAAACTAATGCCCCTTTATACTCCGGCTTAAAGTAAAGGGTATAAAAACTAGCGCGGCCGGGGGTTGCTTGAAGAAAAAATTACAAAGTTAGGCACGCAATGGACAGCCGGCAATAAGGAGCAGAGCAGACTGTCGATGGCGAACACTCGAGAGAGGCAACCATTTTTCATGGCTCTGCGATATGCAAAAACTAATTACAATCCAACTCCATTCTGCCTTTCTACATTATACTTGTAAGGCACTACAAAGGGCATTGCAAAACTTGGCTCTAAAGCCAAGGGGTCGCAAAAGCAGGCCCCTTTGCGCGCATTCGAGTGACGGCATCGCGCTTAGGGGCAGAGAGCGGAGCAGGGATGGGGTCTCTGCAATGATATTTCACAGTCGATAAAATGCCAGACACGGCCGCCACAGCCGCAGCACCAGCCCCAGCCCTAGAGAGGGGCCAAACGGCAATGACAGCGGGCAAAACTTTTTCAAGTCGAAGGTTACATTTTATCGTTCTCGAAAAAGTACCCCCAACCACCACAAAAATAAATCTAGGAGCACTCTCTTTAAGGCTTGGCATG